AAAAAAAAAAAAAAAAAAGAACAAAAAAGAACCTAGACCTATCAGTAGAGGTTAAAAGCTTTACTTTTTAAATCCTGAGGTTAAGAAATTATCAGTATTTCGAAACTTACAAAATGGACAAATTGGTAGAGGCTTTTTAACATTATAATGGAATTTTTCACTTTTCAAAATCAATTTCCAAAGGGAACCTATAGGTTGAACAGTAAGATTTATCAACAAAGCAGGGATTTAGATTTTAAAAGGTTTTCAATCTGGCCAATTCTTCAGATTATCTCAAGAGGGAGCCTTCTTATGCCTCTTCTTCCTTCATAACACTTGTCTGGCTGTCATGTCCTGTTTACAAAGATTTAAGCCCACTCTTAAAAAGGCATAAAATGCTCTTACTGACATGACCCCTGACTAACTTGCCTAATATTTTGCCATCTACCCTCCATGCACTTTAAGCTCCCAAACTATTAATTACTTGACACCTTCTGCGCTTTTGCTTGGTCTCTGTGGCCAGACCATCTTCCCTGCCTTCTCTGTTGAACTCCTAGCCATTCAACAACACTCAGCTCATATAGCACACTTTCAGATGAGATTCAAGCATTCTCTCTCTTGCTACATTTGGCCCTTGTAGATATTTCTATTATTGCCTGTATTTTGTTGAAGCATTCATGTCTTTTATGTACTATACAGTATATAATACATATGCATTACAATGCATTTTTATGATTCATGTTTTGGGGCATCCAGCGGCTAAAATAGGGCAAGGGTTATGTGGTCTTGGCCAGGTCCCTTTTCCTTTCTGAGCTTCAGGTTCCTCAGGTATAAAATGGGTACTATGGCTCCATGAAGATGAAACAGAATATATGTAAAGCCCTTACACAGTGCTCAATTCATGAAAACCATCGCTGTTTACATTGTTTAGGGCCCTCAAGAGGCGCTCTAATCAGCGGGGTTGAGGAAATGCCTCTTTAAAATGACGTCATTATAGGAGACTTAAAAACCACAGCATGTCTGTACAAGTGAACAGAATCACACAGCTACCTAAAGTGGGTTCGCCTGTCATACAGTTTAGAGGTTCCACTTACAACAGGTTTCCATCAGTAGCCAAAGCAACAGAAATTTTAGATTAACAAATCACGGCTTCCGGGATTACCGCAGGGCGGGCGGGAAGCGCCTTTCCGCCCGGGTGGGAAGGCCGCGTCCCCATGGGACTGCCGGAGGGGGCTGGATCCCTATGGCCTGCGGCAAACACCACCACCTAGGCGGTACAGGGGTCCCTCTCTCGGTGACTGGTGACCAGGAGGCCGCAATCTCTTCACATAAAAGCTCTACGGGTTTCCGCTCGGCCCTCACAGCGGCAGCGGACCGAACCGAGAAGGCAATTCCCGCTCAGGTCCTAGGCCCAGGTAGGCCGGGCCGTGGGGTCTCCCCGGGCTCCACGCAGGGGCGGCGGGGCGGGGCGCAGTGACGCAAAGAGGAGTGACGCGACGACGCAACGCGACGCGGTGACGCACGCCCCTTTGTTGGCTCAGTAGCGATAGCAGCGGCCGTGGAGGTGGCGCTGGGGACTGTTTTCTCTCGGAGGCCGGAGCGGAGCCGCGTCTGACTGAGGCGGGCAGCAAGCGGCCCCCTCGCTCCCTCCCTCCCT